AATAAAAGTTCCCGATTTTAAACTGGGATAAAATTTTACTTCTACAATGTAGTTCGAATATGGATACCAATGTGTAATGGGTGGAGTGGATACATAAGACAAACTAGCATTTATGTATATATATAGAATAGTTGTATAAATTTTTTAATCGCATAAATTCCTATTTATTCCTTCCGTTAGAATGCACATTCGGTTTCCTGAACTCCAGCATCTGTTCTTGGGATTCTCGTTAAATTTCGAAGAAAATCTGTGGGAAATACCGGGAATTAAAAATTTGCAAATATGAAAAAAAAAAAAAAAATCCAATCGTAGCACAGCCCCTTGAATTACCTTTTCGAAACTGTTAAGTAATATTTATTAGACGAGCGCAAACTGAAAGAAAACGCTGCAATAATGATCAGCTGTCGAATAATATGTAACACGAATAATTCTTAGATTATGAGCATAATTAGACTATCTAACATGTTTGTTTATATCTGACACAAAGATATTCGTTTCAGACTGATTAATTTCATTTCTCGATGTTTTTAATCGGCATATTTCAGAATTATGAAATGTTTATATCTTTATGAGACAGTGTTCAGTAAGCAAAAAATTAACATATTAGTCTTCAAGTCATCATTCGCACTGAAAACAATGGCGTCAATTCACTAGTTTTAAAAAAAGCGAAACGCTGAAAGCACTAGGAAGCGTTGCATGTACTTAAACATGCATTTCAAGAATATTTCAAAATTAAGGCAAAATGTTTTAAAATTGCCTTTTAAATCATCTTAAATATATTGCGGAAAGTAAAGATATGAATCTTTAACAGTCATCTTATCCTAGAACTGCGTTTTTTATATCGATTTTCTTGTTTAATTGAAAATATCTTGCATAGCTCGGAGCCTGAATCATTTCTCCGTGAAAATACTGTGAATGTATTTTATTTTGAAATATTTATCATTTCTTTGACAATCTCGTTTTTTATTTGAAATTTTCCCGAGGAAGTGTAATTGCATTTATCGTCAATATAAAAACGGCTATTCCAATCAAGCACAATTATAGTTAATACATCGATTTAGTTTACTTTTTTATTATGTATATTTATTTAAGAAAATTAAAGAACAGAAATAATTTTGAAAACAATTATTAAATAGTTAAGAAGTGAATAGTAAAATTTACACATAATCTTTCTTGAAATCTGAATATTATACCGCTTCTTGGATTTTGAATATTATATTTGAATATTGTTTTCTTCAGCCGGGTACAGTTCTTCTCTATTGTACATTGATTTATTATTGCATGTGTTTATGAATAGTTAAATAGTTTTCGTTTAATGATATAAAACTTTACCAGTAGCGAAAAAATACGTTTTTCATCTATTGAATGAGCCTGAATCTATTGAATGGTAAAGTCGTTGACCAGTAATACGACCTGAATTCAGTTCCAAGCAAATGGGCGGCTTTCATGGCCGTTTTTGTGGTTTTTCTCCATGTGCAACGGGTATACGATCCATTTTCCCTTAAAATGTCCTCCAAGAAGACATCAATCACCTCAGGCAGATACTAGATCTAGCGAGATTTTCTAAGTTTCTTTCAAATCAAGGCCCACCGGCAGCCTAGCGGTAAAATTGCTGAACACTGGTAGTTCCGACCTGTGCTCGATTCCAGGCGAACGGGCTGGCTGCATGCACACTTTTGTTGTTTTCCTCGTGTGTAACGTGTATACGAGCCAGTTTCCCTTGGAAAGTCCTCCACGAAGGCATCACTCCCTTTAGGCAGATAGCGCTTGCATGCTTTGCCATAGTCCATCAAACCAAACCCTTTTAAAACAAGTGCCAAATAGCGTTCGTTAGCAAGACACGTTATTTCTCAGTGAAACGCTCTACATCTTCTTGACACATTTACTGTTTTATTACATCTTTTATACTATTTATCTTGCGTTATTTTCGGAAAATTTATTTAAATATATTTAATTTGAATATGTTAGGCGGTGATTTCATTTCACGGTGATTTGAATTCCTGTTATTCTTTATCAGCACATTTCAGAATTATGAAGCGTATGATTATATCGTTATTGCCAACTTCATATTCTCCTTTTTTAACTTAAACGTTGGTTGAAAAATAGTTGACACAGATCGGTCGTCACAACTAAATTTGTACTGTCAACCTGACTGACAGCTTTTTAGTTTAGCTTAAAACATTTCTCATGTAGTTTATCACTTAAACCTGAATTATTCGTCAGATACTTAAAAACACATTATTTTCATATTAGTACTTTTCAAACGTTTATTTCCTTCTTTTCTTTCTTACCGTAGTTTCTTGCTTTTCAAAAATTTCAGATGTCATTTAAGCATATCTTTGCGTATAAAACTGGCCGAAAGTTCGAATTCCAACTACGTCAAAGAGGAAGTCAAGCTGTACATTATCCCGTTTCGTTTTTCAAAACCAATTTTAAACCTGTTAAATAAGTAGCGATTGATTATTATTATTTTAATAGTTTTTGTTGTTGTCTTGTCCATATTACATGGAACAATGGTAGCCAGAACCTACTCCGAAGACAGGTTGGACTTCTATTTTCCACCCCCAATTTTGAGGGAGAGCGCTCCGGAGGGAATCCGGGGGTCTCCCATCACTCCCCTCTCCCACCAATCCACACTAGAGGACTTGCGGCCTAACGCATACTTATAGTCCCACCATGCCGCACCAACAGTTGTACATTTACAAACATCCATGTCTTACCCGGGATTCAAACCCGGGCCCTTCGGTACTGTAGTAGGCTTCCCTAGCCACTATATCGTCTGGGCGACGATAGTATTTATATTAACTCATTAATAAACTATTAATAAATAATTAAAATTAAACTTTAACTAATAACATTATAAAACTGAACACAGACTGAACACTGCTTTTAAGAATTTCGTTAAGGGACTTTGTGAATTCATTGGAAGTTATTTATGTAATTAATGTTCATGAATAAAGAAAAAAGGGTTATTTATGCAAGCTTTAAAAAAACTGATATATTTCTTTCAATAAATGTATTAAATATTGATTTAATGCAGGTTTTTTTCGCATTTTATATTCCTTTTTAAGTAATAAAGTAAAAATATACGGTTATTTGCTTCTGTCACTGTTGAATGAAAATTTATTCGTAATACTCCAGAAAAGTATCCTCATACTTGAAAGGTTCTTCAGACTTTATTCTTGTGGAATCCTTGATATAATCATGTATCAGCGGCCTTGATCGGTATGTTGACTATTGGTGCCAAATGCCAGGTACAAGTTAAAGTATGGGGGACACTAAGCGATGTACCACAGGTTAACTGGTTGTGACATTCTATTCTAACTATATCTTAAAATTGCTGCAAGCTTTATAACAGCTCTCAAATAAAAGGCTGAGTTCCACCGAGGAGATGAGCATTTGAAGTTTCCAAAGGATCTAAGGGTATACCTGTTATGGTACATCGTGCAATCCCACTGCACACCCCGCATCCAGCATTTGCTAGAAAATAATGATTTAGAATGTAATGAGATTACAATACAATTTCAATACAATCTGAAATTCTCAAATTAAATTAAGAACATATGTTTTCATGTAACAAAATAACGGATAATCATGAGAGAAGTATGATTTGATGTAATTAAAATAGCAAATAAACAGTCGATAAATGCGATAAGTACTGGGAATACAATTTTATAATGAAACTGTATTAATAATAATCACTAAGTGTCCACGAAGTCAAATCATTCGAGAATATCATCAAAAAAACAATGTGAGTTAAGAATCCGCCAACTCAGGGACTTGGTAATGCAGAAAATAATTTTCACAGAAAACCAACAGTTAAAAAAAAAAGTATTTAAAATGCTATGCTAGAGTAGATAATTAGTTTATAAAGTTCAAAAGTGGAATCTTTTTTACCATATTCGCAATTCATTAAACTTATTCAGCAGGAGGAATTTATACTTGACAAAGGAAGAGAATAATTGCATAATATTTTGAAACTTAGGATGCTGATGTTTATCTTTAATTAGAAATCTCTGGAATGCCAGGAAATCTATTTATGGAGACTTTATTATTATCATTAGTTAAGATTCATGACGAAACAAGTTCGAAATTAAGCAACTTTATTAAATGAGAGCTCTCTTTCTAAAATAAACTAGAAAAAAGTCTAATGGAATAAATATAAGAGAATTTTTTGAATTAACAGAAAACACTAGTGTTAGGAAGTGCATTAGATGCAGACAGAGTAAAGAATTGCTAATCTAGTTAATGATAGATGCTTCTAACCCCTGCAATTATTCTACTCAAAGATATTAGTTTAACGATCTTAATATGTAAAACAAAAAAGAGTAAAATATCCATTATATTATCGATTTAGTCTCATCTCCCTTTCACTACTACATCAATAATTATTGAATTCCGATGACTTCGATAGTTTTGCAACGGCTGTCGAATAGTACTACGAAGCTTTTCCGCCTGTCTTGGCAGATAGCCGCAAAATCTTCGTGGCACGATTCATGTAGTAAAATTTCTCAAAAAAAAAAAAAAAAAAAAAAAAAAAAAATCGAATTTCTGGAAGCGATTTTTGAATTTATTTTGTTAGTGGGAACTTTTGAGTGGTTGTTGCTGAAAATAAAGTCCAAAATACTATACTGGCAATGTATGAACATATGAAATGTGCCATTTATAAAAATATATGCAGTTAACACAGAGCGTAACAAATGATTGGACGATGATTAAAAATTTAAATTCGGTGCTAAATGTTGTTAACCAGGAAAAAGAGAAAATGTAAACAACATGTATTATACTGTCCCCTCCCTCTCAAATATTATTCATAAAAAAAATCAGGCTTCAGTGATTGAGAAAGGAAGCAACATAGATGACATCTTATTTTGATATAAAATTTTTAGTTATTTATGATGAACTTATCCTCTTATATAATTTCGTGAATTAGGAACGGTAAACAACATTTTGCTACTTTTCATTTTTTATATAATTATTGTATTTTTCCTTTTTCGCAGAGCGCAAAACTAAGAAGGGGTTGGTTGACGTCATTGCTTCCGAAACAAGGTGTGTCTGGAACAAGAAAGTTGAAAACACTGAAATCGAAAAATTCAAGGCTGTCATCAACAAGAAGTACCAGACAAAACTACGTAAGTCTGCATTAAATATCTTTGTCTCGGAATACCGTTTTCAAGTGCATGTTAGTTCCGCTACCATTTAAATTTTTTATTGTCGTCGCAATTTAACTATTTTTCAAGCGTGAGGAACACCGCTATTGCAAAATGTTTACATGTAATGTAAAAAAGAAGCAATTTTTTTTCTTTTACCGGAAACCTCATGAAGATTCTTAGAAACTGAAAACTCTTAATTGTTTATGGCTTAATCCTCTTGATGAGATGAGTCTTATATAAATGGTTGTTGTCTTATGGAAGTAAAGTGTGCTTTCGTATTTACTTTAAAATGAATTTCGTCTAACATAATGTCATAGGAAACTAATATTTTCCTGAAATTAGTTAAATAACGTGAAACTCTTACACAATGTGTTTACTTCGCATGAAATGTGCCAGTGTTTCTAGATTAAACATTATCTATAAACTTTTTTATGGTTTACGTTATGTGAAAATTTAAATGTGAAAATTACTTAACACAATTTTAATATCAATTTTATTCCAACTAATACTTTCCCATACTGTAGGCCAATAGTGAATCTAGACATTTCCTAAGATACATTTCTGTGGTGGCCAACTGGCGGTATTCGAGGTCATTTTCGGAAGTCTACAACCAATTTCATAAAACTTGTTATTTTTTGCTATTGATTACTAATTTTCTGAAGCTTGTATATTTGCGTACTAAATTTGCTTCATAACCCAAAGAAGTACGGTATATCAAAGAAAGATACTATACAATTGCAGCCCACCAGCGGCCGAGCGCTAAAGTCGCTGAACAATGGTAGTTCGTTCCGAGGTTCGAATCCCGCGAACGAACTGGCTGCATGAGTGTTTTCCCCATGTGTAACGTGTATACGAGCCAGTTTTCCTTAGAAAGTACTCCACGAAGGCATCCCTCCCCTTAGGCAGATAGCTCTAGTCTGCTTTGCCATAATTACACCACCACCACACCACCTATACAATTGCAACTATATGACTACAAAGTAAATGCTCTTACAGTAAAATGAAAGGGTATTTATGTTTGAAAAATGTGCTTACAAGTAAACTAGCCCGATTGGGTAATTTTAGTATTTGAATTGCAAGCACTTTGAAAGTACATAAATATGTGACGGTATGAATTTACTGCATAGGAATTGAGTGTTTGATGACCATCTTCGGAACCTTTCGAAAATATGCACACCGTTGGAAATTCTTTCTGGGGCAATTTCTTGCTTCGCGTGAAGGCCTACGGTATTCTCATTGATTTGTATTTCATTCTGCAGACAGAAATTATTCACCGAAAAACATGCATTGAAAATGATATTTTATGCATGCATTTTAACTTTTGATGCATGATTTTGAAAGTGATTAGAAATAATTGTCTGTATGTTTTCAGAACTTGTTCTTGAGTCTGTCTGAATAAAACCTACTGTGCAAATCTTGTCTCTTGCTTACTGTTCTTCGTCAATCTTGCTACTCTTCGCCAAAATATCATAAACTTTTATTTTTTCCCCGTCTGCCCAGTCGTATTAATGGTTCTCAAGATTTAAGATGCTAAAATCTATCAACTCTGCCAAATCAATCGCAGTTCCGTTTTCCTTTTAACAGAGTCTCAACTGGACTTCGTCAGAAATATTTCTTTTATACGTCTTTCTTCCAACGTTCAATCCATATATAACCATATCAGTCTTCGTCTTTAACATACTTGACAATGCGTGATTCTTTATATAGTTAAACTTCCTTTGCCATATCTCCTTTATATCATCAAATATGTTTCCTCAAGTCTTTAAAAAAGTTCCTTATCTAGCCGGCTTTGCTTGTATACGGCCCTTCGGTGGGTGAGTGATAAAACCGTTGAACCCTGGTTCTTCGACCGGGCTCGGCTCTCTTAGCAAACGAGCTGATTGCAGGAGAGTTTTCGTAGTTTAAATACGTGCAACGAGCTTACTCTTAGAAAGCCCTCCACGAAAACCTCTCTTTCCTTAGGTTTTACGCACTCGCGTGCTTTACAGGCTTAACAGGGATTATTTAATCTAAGTAATCTGATTCAGAATATTTTGCAGTTTGAAAGGCATGTTAATGACCAGGCCTAATTTTTAAAAGAAATAAATTGATAAAAATAAAACTATTAATTTAAGAAAAGCAGCACCGATTTGTTTTGTTAAATCGCCTTTTATATAGTTTTTCAAATAAAAACGGTACGAACTAAATTTAAGATCAAACAAATAATATAAACGATATTTTGAGCAAACATTTTGATAATTCATGGCATTAAATTTAGAGATTTAAATGTAGAACAAGTTAACCAGAACTTGAATTATGATACAGGTTAATGAGATACATATGATCGTATAAAGCAACAAGTTGAATTAAGTTAGTTTATAATTACATATTGCTGTAAATTTTCAAATGTACTCTCTACGTTTGTGACAGTTCATATGAGGACTGCCCATTATAAGAAAAGGTATAATATATATATGCAAGGAGGAAGTTCGCGGGCAAAGATAATAAATTTTGCTGGCCTTGGCCTTGAAGAACCCATTCTCTTGACCTAAATGGACCTGTTGTTGGCTACTTCTGCTTTAAAGCATTGATAAGCATACATCTAGCTTTCATTATGAATAGCGTTTTAGTTATTTTGCTTGAATCCGGTTTCAGGGATTTATACAATCCCAAAAATAGCTGTAATATTTTTCTCTAAACTGTATGATCCTGTACCACATTTAATATTAAATTTTAGAAACCTCAATAAAACAAATTATCGGCGTTTTCAAAATAATTATTTGCTTTATTAGACTTAATTCGGTAATAGGATTAAAAATCTCCTATGGTATGACATTTTAAAAAATTTTCTTAAAATATGATTTGGAGTTTGAAAGCCTGAAAGCAGTAATTTTTTCTGACATTTTATGTTTATTTTGTTTTATATTTTGTGAAACTGATTTTGAAAAAAATTAGAATTTTCTGTTTAGGAATTATAATGTCATTTTATTGAATTTGCACGTAAGTAATCAAGATATTAAATACTGGAATTCTACCACTTTAGAATTAATGAGAAATTTAAATATTCTGTTGTAAATTAATAATTTTTTTAAATGATATCTAATTAAATAAAAAGAGTTTTTTTGAACACTGAAAATAATTTACGCATAACTACGTTACTAAAATTATGGAAATGAAACTATTTTGAAATAACGACTGATATATTTGTAACTTTCTTCCTTGTCATTACAGAGAGCTATTGGGATCTCCATGAATGGTCTGTAAAGAATTATGGACGCTTTTGGGAAGAAATATGGAATTTCTATGGAGTGATTCATTCTAAGCCTTATCAGGAGGTTTGTCTTTACTTTTTAAATATTTATCACGTTTAGCTGCAGATTTGTTTGACCTTTTAAACTTAATTATCAGCTGTCACCAACAAAAATACAGTTAAATACACTGTGTAAAGCATGAGACCAACAAAACCATATTTGTATTAATTTTCACATTTGCTAAAATTCTGCACTAAATTTCAAAACTCAGCAGATCCCTAATCAAGTTTTTAAATAGCTCAATTGTAGTTTGGGTAATCGAATTTATTGCATTATCAATAGCTTTTAGCTAAGTTTCTAAATAATTAAACAATGTTTGTTCTTTTCCAAATTTTAGATAGGCTTGGCTCGTAAGTGGCCAATTGAGTAAGGCCTTTAAACACCGTAAGTTGACCCAAATGCAGATTCTCGGCTGGCTTCTTGGGCTGTTTTTGTGGTTTTCCCTATTTTATCCTATGAATACCAGCATGTTTCCCTTTGAATGCCCTCCATTAAGAAATCTCTGTCCTTTGACAGATATCCGTATCCTTACGTAATCCAGTAGTGCTTCAGAAAAGGTTTTAAAATTGTTTACTCGTTATAACGTTTCACTTGTTCTGTGCAATAGTTAGATTGTAGTTTGAATACATGAGTAGTACTGAGCAAAATTAATATTCTGATCATCTTCCAACCAAATTTTAAAGATTTTGGTGGGACTTCCTGGCAGAGTTTTACGTAATTCATTAATTTTTTATACCAAATTCATATGGGCAAACTTAATAGTAAACGAATTTGGAAAAGCGAGTTATTTTAAAACCTTAGAAGAATGACACTGCATAAAAATTATCAAAGATGTTATCACTCTCCTTAAAAGCTTACTTTACAAACGGAACACTCTAAACTCGCTTCCGCTACCTACGTCTCGTGTAGGGAAGGAAACATTAATCCCCTTCCGGCTGAATTCCGAGCATCTCTTGGATCTCGGAAACCTTGGCATTCAGAAAAGTTTGCTTTGAGGAGAATCGAAAAGGAAATCTTGCATTTAATTTCAATAAAGCTCCTTACAAATATGTTTCCTTAAATGAAAAAAAAAATGGTATTTTTTTTCTTAACAGTCATAATATGTTTGATGTGAATTGTACAATTTAACAGGAAAATTTCCTCAAAAAGAACGTTGAAAAAGCCATTTCAGCACATCATTAAAAAAAATGAAGTTTATATTTTATGTAAAGGTTTTTATTTAAAATTAAATATCAAAAATCAGCCTACCTTTTCTTCCCGGGGTGACTGTTGCTACGATAATGTTGAATCGGCATTAAAAAAAAATAAAAAAAGCGTAACTAAATTAAGAGGCCACACGTAGATGAACACTAGAATATATTTAAAAACATTAAAAATTACATTTCAAATTTTCTCTCTCAAGAATGCGTTGTTTACATGTCATGGAATACATCATTATCGCCGCTTGTTCTAAGCGCGCTGTTAGAGAAGCGTTGAGTTTCAGTGTGCTTCTCACAAACGATAATTATGCGCGAAATTTTAAAGGCTCTGTTTTTAACAATTGTCATTGCTATATCTTCTATATATATGGTATGTGATTGTTATTATTTAATGGTTGAGCTCATGAAATTCGCTGGTATGAAAAATTAAAGCAGCCAATATAAACCAATTTAGTTAGAGAAAATAAAATAAAACCTATATCTTCGAGTTCTTGCGCCACCTAACAGAATTACATTTTTCTATAGATTGTAAAGAATGGTAAAGGTTTTGTGGACATAGACTGGTTCAGCGGGGCTCGACTGAATTTTGCAGAGAATATGTTAAGGTGCAGAGATGAAACCGTTGCCATGATATGCGCCGGTAAGTATTGCAATATTTCTTGTTAAGTCCAAGCATAAGTAGGAAAGTCTTTAATTATAATATTTTTCTCTCTAAAGTAAAGTAATAAAAATCGCTTATTCAAGCAAAAGGAAAATCGGCAGGTAAATTCTAACTGTAACTGAGTTTGACAAGTAAATAACGACAGAATCGTTAAAGAAATCTCTTGAACACGAAATTTTAAAGACGGTGTATCAGAAATTCTAAAGATATGCCCATTTTAAAATTATTTTATACTATTGCTGTTAAATTGAATTTTATGTGGTTTCATTGCGAAGAACATGATATTTAATATATAAATGTAACACACAAAACGTTAAAAAAACGCCCCTTTGATTGTAATATAAATTCTCAAAGCTTTTAGATTTTTTAAAAATTTGTTTTTAAATTAATACATCGACATATTACTCATCAAAAAATATTAACGGAAATCAATTGATTTTTATGTCTTACTTATCGTTCACAAAAGTAATTGACCACGACCATTAGAAGAGATTCTAGTAATAATTACCTTTTTATTTTGTTTTAATTGCACTGTCCATGAATACTTCTGAAACAAAAGGTCTATTCCAAGCACTATCTTCCTCCCCTACTACATTTTCTTTGTTTTTCAGCGGTAAAGACGCTGAACACTGGTAGTTCGGTCCGAGGTTCGAATCCCGCGAACGGGCTGGCTGCATGGGCGTTTTCGTGGTTTTTCCCCATGTGTAACGTGTATACGAGCCAGTTTCCCTTAGAAAGTTCTCCACGAAGGCATCCTTCCCTTTAGGCAGATAGCCCTCGTGTGCTTTTTCATAATTGGATAATCCGAAAAAAAAATCCAAATCCTTTTGTTTTTTTTTACATTGGCAAACAAAACGAAAGAATAGCTGGCACTTTGTCCCAAGGTCTATATGCTGGAAAGGAAAAATCACTGTCTGTGACAGGAAGGTAAATTAGATGAAAATTATTTAGAACAATATCATTTTAACACGTTTCTGTGAATATAATAAAAAAAAGTTTTCAAATATCAGTCAGCATTAGGCTTGAGTTTGTCTACTACTATGAGAGTCACGTATGTCTATTCACCGTTACAACATTGCACTGAAAACAATATTTTATGAAAGGATAAAATCAAGTACTGCATTTTGTTTAAGGCGAAAAATTTTTAGCCAATTTCTTCATGTTAGTTTTATGGCCGTATAATATAAAAGTGCAAAATTATTTACAAATAACTCGATCATAAAAATGCTTAATATATGTTGAATAGTAGAAGAAATATTGTTTTATTTGATACTAATGCACATTCAAATTTCCTAATATCGATATCCTACTCGGAATTTTCTAGAAAGTGCTTGTTTACTGAAAGCGAGTCCGGATGAATATCATTTCTCCACTGATATTTTCATCTTCCTAGTAGAAAATGCAATCTTCAGTTCTGTCCTCAACACTGATTAGCAGATAGACTAATATTTAGTATAATGTGTCAGAATACCCAAAATTGGTAGTATTTAGCTATGTTGGAACATTAATTATTCTCACTTTTGATGATATATACAGGGTGATTAAAAAATATCTGGAAAAATATAAGAGCACATAGAAGGGATAAAAAAATCTCATTTTGTAATTGATGTATGTGCGGGATGGTCCCCTTGAACGATTGATAAAACGATTCGCGATAAATCGTAATTTTCCGCGTGCACGTAAAGCGGTATGCGTCTCTATACAAATACGAAGCTCAAACAGCCATTTTATCTCTCAATCCGGAAGCGAAAGAGGAACACCTGTTCAGAGAAGGTACTCTTCATTGCTCTCTGAACTACCTTTGAGTAACTGCTCCGTTTTAGGGCTCGCCTCAGTTTTAATAAAAAAAATGCATGTTAGCGGGCTCTGCACTGATGTAGTGATGCACATCGCTCGAAGTACGAACGGGAAAGGATGATTTCACCAATAGAACGCTTTTTACCGCTCAACTGTGCCCTGTACGACCTCAATGCGCCGTTTTGGCACACACATTTCACTACATAGTCTGCTTAATTCAGTCTCCTTTGCCTGTCTTGACATTTTTATCAGATATTTTTGGATCACTGTATAGCTGAATTTTATAGTGATTTTAAATTTAGCTTATTCAAGGGTTTTCAGTTTAACTGAACTTTTGCTGCCCAAAATTTTACCTTTTGGTTTATAGGCGGATCGACTTGTTCGAAAATATACGTTATATATTATTTATCTTCATAACAAAACGCGGTTTGCCTTAAATGAAAACTTAAATTGAATATTAATTTCGCAAACTTTAAAACAACAAAACACTAAATATTTAGCTCATGGCCCAAAAGTGAATGCAAAATTAGCCAGATACTTTTTTCTGTGTAATGCACACTGAAAGTCCGATAACTCAGCATCCAATAATTTGGCATACATGATAACCTGGCACCCTTTCACAAACACTTCTGTCTCAATATAATGATACTAGTATTTCATTTCATCGTTTGGCATTAGGCCGGAAGGACCAGAATCTATGCACAGGTGGACATTTAATTTCTTTATTTGAAGACTTAATACGCTGGCAGTCATGGCGATTTCTAAGAAAAAAGTGATTAAATTCAATAAAACTATGAATAAATTTTTGACTTATTAAATATATTTGCAAAATTTCTGTATGCAATGTTTCCATTCCTCAATACGTTCAATAGCACACACAAAAATAATAAGTTTACGATAGTATCCAATTTCAGCCCAATAATCCTGATCTTTGATAATCTGAAATCGCTCATGCCGGATTGCTAAATTCTGTCTGTATAATAAAATGCATGCTTCGTGAAAACACTAGAAAAAATGTAAACTACTACATTAGTTTCCGTTTGTTAAATTTCGAAGGAAAAAAGACTCCTAAATTCCAGCTACGTTTGGTGTATAATGAGGAGAGATAAATATATAAAACCAATTTCAGAGTCAAAATCTTAAAGCATGAAAAGAAGATATGCAATTAACATCTACCCCAAGAATATATAAAATAAATTTTACCAAGCCAAGTGGTTAATGTTTTTATAAATGTACCTTAGGAAAGGTATAATTTAAAAAATAGGTCTACAAATACTTAAATAATGATTGAGGGAAACGTATTAGCCATATATTTTTTAAGACTCCGAGAAGCAAAAGCAAATGACGTCAAAGTTCACTGTGTCAAATTTAAGCAATCAAATGCTTTAATTCTCTGAAGATTTGACTCATGCTGTTCTACCTACTTCAACAAACTATTAGTTCAGTTTAGTGTTCTTTAATGAAGCACCTAGAAAACCTGCTGAAGTGAAAACAGCAGTCGTTTATAACGCTTTCATTAAAAAAATAGGCTTAGTAATTTAGGCACTAATTTTTGGCTATAATTTGCAATCCATGTGCTAGTTTTACGATTACCAGTTTTGGTGTCGGATTCTTCATCGCGGTGCTAGATTTTTGCTCTTTAGAAATCCTTTAAAAAGTAATTTCTGTGTTGATTAATCATTTTTAATTACCTGGTTTACGTTCATTAAAATAATTACATACTAAAAATTTATTTTCTGAATAATTATTATATACAATAATAAATATTTCAGTGTTAATTAATAAAAATGTAACAAAGTGATGTAACATACAACAGTCATATTATATATAGGTAATAAGAGATAACATAATACCACAGAACTAAGAGACGTAAATTATAGTACGAATATTGCTCGTAAATGAGGTTTGCATGTCAATAATTATCTCATATGCGCTTTCTGCAATATATCAGATTTCTTAATCCTCTAATAAAAAATGTAATTTCAAAAATCATATTTCAACATACACTTTTCTATATCCTCTGAGTACGTAAACACTCTTTTACACTCCAAAGCATGACAATCACATATACAGCAGATCATCTGTTTAAAAAGAAGCATTTCCATTACATTATTTAGTGTTTTTATGTAGGAACATTCGAAAATACATGGGGCATTTCTCATCATTGATGGCTAATTACGATGTGAAATAGCTTGCTCTTATTCTTTTGATGCTGACCCTTCGGAATATTTTCTAGATGCAGACTACTTTTCCCTTGAATTCCATTTTTGTTTCCACGTATGTTCACTTGCTCTTCGAGATGAATTTTTCGAGTATCTACAGAAACTGGTAAATGTACATCAAAGATCACTTTTATTGCTAAATTGTTTGCTGCCTGTTCAGCCAGCTTACTGCCTCTTATATTAAGAACGGCTTCGAACTGAAAATTTGACTTTTCACTAAACTTTTATTTATAATTTCTTTTTAAAAATTACTAAAGAATTATGGTTTAATTTTAAAGAGCCTGGAGTAGATATTGGCTATCATACAATATGTTGACACTGATTTTGAATATTCTCTGATTTTGAAAATATAGTTAAGACTTTTGTTAGTGCCATTCGATACGGCATGAAGATGCTTTTGTGGAATATAAACAATAATCAAATAATCATGCTCTTTAAATGTGTGTTTTAAAGAATGCGCTAGGTGCAAAAGATTTTTAAGGGACTGGTGGATTTTTATTGGAGCTGTGTTTCGTAACTGCAAACAAGAATAAAGTTAAATCATCTGAAGAATTTTAAACAGATCACCTTTTGAAAATATTGCAGAATATCATCACGTAAAGAAAAATTTAATTTTCGAAAAATATTTTGACAAAGAGTAATTATCGAATAACTAATTCAAGTATTATATTTACAAAAATATGAAATACCGAAAAATTAAATATTTTCGCCGATATCGGCTGTACCCATAATCGCAGCACTCAGTTTTGCTTCGAATCTGTAACATTAAGAACAAACCCTGCCAAATGGAAACAATTACAGTAATGCACAGCATATTTCGAAGCAAAGAACAGCGATAATTCACTATGGGACCATTTTTAAGTGTACAGCAGTCAAACCATGCATTGGTTATTCAAGAATTGCCTGTTACATTAAAGACTAGTGCTCGTATTTTCCAAGGCGATTAACTTCACAGAAGAGAAAAATTATTTGAAACAGCGGAGTCTTATTTCGGGATTTTACTAACACAGAAGCAATTTTTGAAAAACTAAAAATATTAATTCTAAAATAAGATTGCTTCAAGCATTTTTATCGCATTGTTTTCGAAAATATTTGACTTTAGCGAAATGTATAATTTTATGTTTTATTTATTATGTAATTGATAGCTTAAAATTGTACTGTCTAATTTATTTTTAAAATAGATACGTATTGGATAGCAATTTACCGACTATATTGAGCGTTTTAGAGCTTGTACGTACCTTGCACCCATTTCAAAATTCATAACCTGCGACAACAAAAACAGTTTTGTAGCGGTTTTTTTTTTTTTTTTTTTTTTTTTTTTTTTTAGATAAGTAGCTTGTGTTATCCCATAGCAACATTCTTTGTGGGGTAACTCTAAATGCAATGCATGTTTAAGCCGTTAAAATTCCATCCCGGTGTTCGTGCCAATAGCAAATTTTCTACCCTTGAAGGACGATTGTATAACGAAACTCATTCGTCAGGCTCCTGCTTTAAAAGAAGCAGAACGTAATAAGTAATTTAGGGGAAAAAAGGGGGAGACATTCGTCCGAAGGTCATTCGATAAACATACGTTTTTTTTCCCCTTTCACTAAGGAAAAAAAAATTCGACCTACGACCCTTTTACGTAAGTTTCATTATGTGTTTCGCATTTTTTACTAACCTACCTAGCTTGGTAAGTATACACGGCAAATAAATCAAAATGCTTTCAAGATTACAGTTAAAGTTATATAAGCTGCATGAAAAATTTGATTTTTATGTTTGATCGCATTCCAAAACAGTTACAGCCTCGTGAAGGCTTAACTATTGAAAAAAAAAAATACTTAATTGATAGTGTAAGAAAAATGAATTCCCCGAGGAAAAATTTAATTCGTATGGTACGAAAAAAGGAAAAAAAGAACTGATTTATCTACTTTACAGTTATTATTTTTTCTATCTGATTACTAACCTGTTTGGTGATTTAGCTAATACACAAAGAGAAATGGCAGAAATACGCTATCCATTAAAAAAAAAAAAAAAAAAAAAAAAAAAAAAAAAAAAAAGAGTCAAACGAATGTTTAAAAAGTGTACGTAATGTGCCTAAAGAAACTTTCTATTACACGACAACAGACGCTAAACAATTTTTTTAAAAGAAGCCGTAGAAGCCATCTGTTATATGTATATATATGCCAAATGATAATAAGATATTAATAAACGGTTATGTATTTAAAAAAAATCATATTGCCTGTTGGCCATTGTAACTCTGACTTATCTGTTAGAAGGTAATACGTATTTTAAGAATACCCAACAAAAAGATTTTTAAAATGTTATTCGTTCCTTTAAGTAACTAAAAGAGTTTAATTTTATCTGCTTATAAACATTTAGCATAGTCTGAAGAAAGAGGTTTCCTGTTGAAAATATGAAATTACCGTATGTATACTTCTATATAGAACTGTTTGGTACGTGTTGTCCTATAACACCCGTACCCCAAAAAGAAACAATCAGAGCAATCGGAACATTTTAAATTAAATATTTCCCCCAAAAATCTTTTTTCAAAATATCATTTTTTCGCATAAATTCAATGTACGTCATGTTAAATGAGTACATATACCATTTCTAAAAACTAGATTTTAATATAACTTCGTTAATCCTTGTCATGGCAGGCTCCCCAACGACCAAACAGTAAAGCCTCTAGTAATTCGACTTGGAATCGAATCCTGGCAAACGGCCTCATTGCATGAAAATTTTCGTGGTTTTCCCCTTTTGTATCGTGGATATGAGCCGGTGTTTCTTAGAAAATGATTCACAAAGGAATCCTTCCCTTAGGTAGATAGTTATCGCATTCTTTACAATAATAATTCCATTTTCCTATTTCAAGAAACAAAAAAATTGTTGCATGATGACATACCTGATGTAGATATTCACATAAACCTGTAGCAGAAATTAATTGTGTAGTAAAAATCTTGACCTACATATTCAGATAAACCTTTACAGATGTCAGATAAACCGGAGCAAATGACTGGATAATATAAACTTTTCTTTTTTGGCTAAAAGGTGCCTCATTCGAAACAGTAGCACTATATTATGACCTGTGATTTTATTTTGTCAAATTTCTCATATTCGAAATAAATGATGAAAATTTTGCTGAAGTTTTTTTATTCCACCGATCAAGAAGTCATGGATATTTCGAAAGCGGCATGAGGAATATTTCAAATATTATCGAGATAAAAATCCTTTCGAAAGAGCGATGGTAGCGAATGATAGATAGAAGACCCTCAGACACATTCCCTGAGATTAACTTTCAAAATTGGAACAGAACTGAATATATTCGCTAAACAAATCTGCTATATGATAATGTCCTGGTGTCGTCTCTAAGTTGCTAATGATAAAACTCATAGGTCCTGATCTGGCTGCAGAATCGATCAAGAGGTTTAAAAGCAACAAACATGAACAAGGCCACCAAGGTAAATTATTCGAATCTCATCTTTAAGCATGGCTGACTTCAATTACGTTGCCTGCCCTCAAAAAGGAAACATAGTTCTTCATAGTGCTGTTCAATTGAGAATAGCTCTTACAACATAAGAACAGACATCAATTATGTTACACATGTCCGGGGAAATCTTGTTCCAAAAAATAAGATGTACGAAGTGCATACGCTTGCTGCTAGGCATGCGTTTAGATTGTTGCGTGTCTTCTGTATTACTGAGTAGTATTTTAAATATTATTGCATTTCTGTATTGATTTTTATGTAGTACGAAGTAATATATCAATGCATGCCTGCTTGTCATAACGATCCCTCGCGCTCTAAAGAAAAAAATGCATTAGAATGAGTAATTGCTGTAATAAAAATGGGTTTAATATGTTGTCGTGTATTGGACATTTTGCACCGAATCGGACCTTTTTTGCTTTTATTGTAATACAGCAGTTTCTTTTAAAAAGCAATAGCTATAAAGCGACCCGGCTGTATTATATTACTCAATAATTAACGCTGTAATAAAGCAAAGTAATTCAAAAAATCATAGAAGATTTCTTTCACAAAAGGAAGAAAATAATAAACAGGTTTCAAAATTCCTTTCCTAATCTTTCTGATTTAATGCCCTAATCTAATTCTAGTTCTATTAATCTAGTTTCAAAAAGACAATAACTTATCTTTGCGTATAATTTCAAGCCACTTATTACTTTATGTCCGGTTTCAAAGAGACAACACATAACTATTTACTTGTTATTTGTAGATGAAGAAGGTAATGAAGAGACAATAACCTACGCTACCCTATACGAAGAAGTCGAGCGTTATGCTGCAGCTTTCAAAAAGAATGGTGTCCAACTAGGAGACAGAATAGCATGTAAGTAAACTCAATTATAATCCCATTTCTTCTACTGCATAAAGTACTTCTCAATTTTAAAATATGTTTTTCAATAAAATTAGAAGATTTGTTCGGAAACATGCGATACAAATAAAATCTTCAGAAAATGTAATTTCAGCTAGCACTTTTTTAATAACAAATATCTCGAAAGATTAAAAATTTACTTCATTAGATGCTCTGTAAAATATTCAAATAAATTACAAAAGAACCAAAGTAGTCTTAAAAAATCAAAAACATAAGAATTATACCCAAATATGTATTGAGCTACCTGAAATGGACAAAATCTGATAGGAAATGTCAATAAACAGTTAATATTTTCGATTTTATCTTTGGTTACCTTTCTTAAGTGGGCGGTCAAAACCGCTGAAACACTAATCTTACGAAACGGAAACATTTTTCTTTTGAGCAATTAAAAAAATCATTTTCGCTTACGAAACAAAATGTGGGTAAAAGTAAAACGATTAATATGACCGCGATTGCAAATGTTACCTTAAGTCTTGATGTTTTTAACAATTTTGTTACAATTCTTCTTATACAAGTAAAACAACTACCTAAATCAGTTTCTAAAGCGGGGAGATGTCCATGCATTACATTGTTATATAGGTTTAAAATTTTCACGAGAGAATATAGCAGAGAAGATTTATGTATTTTAGATTAATAACACAAAGGTTTACTGATTATTTAAGTTTTAGTAAATGGCTGAGCATGCAGTTTTTAGAAATACTTGAGCTCGAGCAAAGTTAATATCTATGTGGATAATTTTAAGACAAATTACGTACGGTAATCAAAAACGTTCCGGTAGTTAGAAAGAACTTCGACAGCACGCAGAACTGGTTTGACAACATGGTGTAAAAATAAATAGCAAAATCATAAAATATATTAAGTTAAATAACAATGTAAAAGGGATAATTTGAAGGTGTAATTTTTGAAATTTGCTTCAGATTTTAGCATCTATTGGTATTGCATTTTCACATGTATAATGTGTAGCGTGCTTAGGATGAGGCGATACAAAAGATATTGTATATCTATGTGTTGATATTAATATCATCAAATGCGACCGCATTTGCATCTGATTCTGAGGCTATCAGTATAAATAAAACAAAGTTGAATCTTAAAAGCACTTCTAAATTTTTGGCAGAATAAGAGGAGCTCTTTAACATTAAAAAAATACGAATTAAATAAATAGACGGTAAAATATGACTCACTAATTCCGGTTTAAGTCAATTCATATTTGGACATTGCCCGTTCCTAATCTATGACTATGAGAGAAATGGCTCTTAACAATTGCATTTGCAGTTGTCACCAGAGCACTACACTATATTTGAAACACCAAAGCACTACCTTTTCTTGTGGCTATTAAGTAATCACTTCATAATGCTGACTCAACTGTAAATGAGCTCGAGTTCGTGAGGTATTTGATGAATACTCAAAACCTCATCACCGGATCAGTAAAATTATGAAGTATCTTTTGGAACAAAGCTAAGGTATAGTATAGTATAGTAACTGTCACATAAGATGTCCTTTCTTGAGTGTACGTTCAAAAAAAAAAAACTGCATCTAAAAGAATTTGGAAACATAGCAAGAAAGTCCTCTGAGGTGTGTTAATGAATCAGTAGCATAGAGGAGCAACACCTACATCACGAAAAGATCCTGATGTCCAATATACTTACTCTTATCCTGCCCAATACATATTAATACTAATGGAAAATAAAATCCAAATAACAGTAAGAAATCAGTTTAGATGAATTATTATTTCGAGAAGCAGCATCATGGTACCACTGTAGTTGCCACGATTTGAATGCAAGCATGCAAATGCGCTTTGTGGCGTACAGGTGCCATGTGTCATTTTGTAGGATGGAGATCGATTCCCTTTGGTCTTGGATAATCAAATCAGCAACTATCCATGCTGGTTGTGGCTGACGCTAGATTTGTCGTCCAGTCATATCCCATATATGCTCGGTGGTAGACTGATCAGATAATTTCGCAGACCAAGGAAACCTGTCGACACTCTATGCAGCACGTTGTGTATTAGAAGGGGTATGGGAATTAGCATGAGCTCTATCCTTCTAGAAAATGTTCCCTGGAACATTGCTCGAGAATGGCACCGGTACAGTCAGTAGTCTGCGTACAAAAGTCCAAGGTGCATCGCATAACAACAAGAGTGCGCTTGCTGTTATAGAAAATTGCTCCTGAGACTATAATTCTTGTCAAATGTGATCCAATGTAGCATTTCATGTAGCATAACTCTTAAGTCGAATGTGTCCACTCTGCTAACAGCTTGGTTTCAAGGTCTTCTTCTTATCAACAAACGGCAATCACTGGCACCAAGGCAGAAATGACTCTTATCTGGTCTCCACTAATTGTCCAGCGAGTTCAAGCTTGACACCACCGAAGTCAAATGGCGATGATTTGGAGTTAATGGCCTGGCCCTTACAGGGCATCTAACTTGAAACTGCCCCTCAAGTATCTATTTCTCACAGTTTGCTGGGTCACTTCTGATTCCAACAAATAGTCGAACATCTGCTGTAGATGTAGTTGCGATATGCCAGACATGTGAATACGACGGTCTACCCTTTCAAGGTAGCAAATGTGAGACCGGACCTTAGCCTTCTTGAGACAGTACCTTTCCGTAATCACATCTGCCAATACACATGTACAGTGGATATATCTGTCAAATCTTTCTGCAGTATAACAAAGAGAAAATTCACCTTCTCGTAACCCTATTACACGATTCATTTAAACTCGGTAAACTGCTGATGTTGCCTTCTTTGTCTCCTTAAAGGCGTTCTTTACTCAAATCTCGCTCACAAGGCTCAATGCGGAAGATAAATAAAACGTACAAAAGTTCACATTGTGTATTTAAAGGAAACGTGATTTGCATGTTCATAGTGGCGTTACTGACGCCACACTTATTCGCCTTGAGAAATATGAGTAGACGCTATCTTTCAGATGTGCAAACAATATTCCCAAATTTCGTTTACATAGCACAATTCATTTTGGGTGTTGGATTTCATTTTCTATCAGTGTATGAAGTTGCATCTTTTCGGTTTAGGAAAGACTTAAACCAGTAGAAATTTGAATGTTGTTGATTTTTCAGTTTTGATTTGCATTTAGACTGAAACATACATTTAACTGCCGAAAAACAGTCATCTTGCTGCAAAAGAGCTCGTGCAATCATGTTACTAAGTTCGTGAAGCAAAGGTCGGCGACATTAAATGGAAACCATGTTGCTCTGTGATTTTCAACTTCTTTCTTTGAAAATATTTCCAAATACATGACCAACAATGAGCTGAAAATATCTGTTTCGGAACTATTTATATGCTGTTGAGATTTCCACTACGAGTATATTTTTAATTTTCTCCTCAGTTGGCCATTTCAACTTCGATCGCCGTTTTTTCTAAATACAGGGAACTTATGAAGCTGTGTTATATCAAAATTTAACTAAGAGCATAAAATTTTATCAAAATTAATATAGTATATTTCCTTAAAAAATTAGATTTACATCTAATATTTATATTTTGATTTCAGGTTATATGTCGAACAGAAAAGAAGCTGTATATGCCTATTTAGCTGCAACAAGTATGGGCGCAATTTGGGGCGGACCTCTGCCCTTTTATGGAGATAAAGTAAGTGGAAATAAACAAAATGTGAGAACAGCGAATAAGAGAGTGTAAAACTGAAATTCTTTAAATTTCTAAATTTGAACTGAATTTCAGTCTTAAGGCTTATCATCTGTTTCCGCAATGCTTGGATATGTGAAGTAATTTTCTGTCGTTGAAATACGCATCATGTCATGTTTTCACAATGAAAAGTATTTCAAAGGCTAACTTCACTTCAAAGTTACATTTTATGAATACCCCGACATGAATGGCCATCGCTATGAATGGTTTCAATCCATTTATTATAAATGTCAAATTGCTCTGAGAGGAAATAAATAATGAAATTTGATATTATTTTACGCTGGAATTTGCAGTCAGTGGACAAAAGAAAATAATTATCTTGTCTTAGGGATTCCCTTCTGGAAAAAGTATTCTAACTGTTCAATTAATCAGAGTTCTATTAATTTGGTGTATGTATTGCTTTCCAATACGTCCCAGCCGTTTTGTACTCCTTGGAACAACCTTAATCGAACAAAAATAGAAGTAGATCTTCCTTCCTTTATATCGCATTAAATAAGAATCGTGTAAAAATTGTTTTTGTAGTAAAAGAAATTCGTGTGTCTATTTTATTAGGATATCCGATCTGAAATACATGGTTGTTTTGGAATTTTGCGAAACATGTTTAATTTTTTTATATTAACAGGCTAATAATTTTATATCTAGGCTGCTTCAAAAATAATTCGGCCCATGCTTCCGAAGTTCCTCTTCACAGTCGACAGATTTATGGATCTCAAAACTGAAAAGCATCTGATGCAAAATATTCCTACCATAGTCCAAGGTAAGATTCTCTGTTTTATTCTCATTTTCATTTCGGTTCTTTGGTATGCGTGGACGAAATGATCCAAGAAATTACCACTCTTTGATAATTGATTTAAAATCATTTCCAGGCATATGTTATACAACATTACGGCAAGATCGATGGTTGAGTATTTATTTTCAAATTAATCTGCATTTAAATACTCTTGACCCTTCGACACAACGAGGATATAAACTGCTGAATTTTAGTAACACGAGAACGTTTTTCACTAAAAGCAGCAGAATGTTTGGAAAATTTATTAATTTAAAGTCTGACAAAAAGGTTTCATAGATTAAAGTATTGAAACAATTATGGAAACGTTGGGTAAATCTCGAATAAATGAAACTACATGAAATATATGGAGTAATGCAAAAAATATGCATGCATTTTGAATGATTATAAATGCACTATTTATTCAAATATCTAGATATTTAAATTTCGTATTCCAAATTAAAGAATACAAATGTGACAGTTATGTATTGTGGCTAGCGTTTAGACCAGTCAATATCCTAGTTCAAGTATTCATGATAAAACAGGCCAATAAAATTGCAAACAACATGAATGATTTATTTGGTATTTGAGTAGATGCTATTTTAATATTCACCTTCAGTTTATTAGCTGTTGAGTATTGGTATTTTAAACTTTATTTTTGATTTATTTATAATACAAAATGTCAGTCTATTAGCTTGATGTCTAACTCTAGAGAAAGCTATTGCAACCTTTTGGTCATCCATCAGTTTGTCAGATTTTCATTACAATAGATCGTAGTGTCTACAGATAGTGGGAATATACTTCAAACTGCTGGAATTAATACTGCATTATATTGCAATTCCTAGAAACTTTATAAATTGTGTATTGTGTAGAAATAACTAATGGCGTAGAATGATGATCCATGAGGAAAAGCAAATTTCGTAGCCGAAGCAGATTAAATATTTCGTTTTATTTCAGTAAACATTTGCGGCCACAAATACTTGGCACATTATTCGTGCCTGTTCCAAAATATTTATATTTTTGATACTGTTTTGCGGAAGAAAGGAAAACAGCAAACAGCACTATACCTAGTCCGAGGTGCAGAAAGCAAGTGCCTTGTGTTCAGGATAAAATCTTAATTATGCTTTAGTTCCGGGTATGTAAAATGATCTGATGTGGACATCATATGACTTCCTTGTACGGTTTATTAAATTATGCATATATTTGCTGGCCTTTCATTTAAACTTATTTCCTCGAATTTCATTAGAGATATTTTTCACACAATTAATTCAATTTTCAACTCGCAGCAAGGCAAAAATACATAAAAAGTCAAAAAATCTTCATTAAAAATTGTAAAATACATAAAAACATAAAACATCAAATACAGTAAAAAAAATTAAAATTGAAATTAAAGTTTCTATGCAAAAACAAGCAGTTCAGCCAGCGAGCAGGAAGTCTGTGTTTCGTTGCACAAAATTGTATTTAATTGTAAGTTTACTTTTGGTCCCACTCGGAGAAAAGACATTGAAATTGATGCACAAACTTACTTAATACGTTATTCTGCTAAGAGTTGAAATTGTAAACAAATGGCGGCAAATGCACAATTTACCAAAGTATAAGAACAAAAAAAAAAAAAAATAAAATAAAAAAAAATAAAAGGAACTCACTGAGGGGGATAACAGAGTTTGTGCTAATGTGTAGATATACAGGGTGATCTTTTTTAAAATGACAGTGTTTGGAGCGCCCTGTAGCGCGAACTAATAGCCGAAATGGCACCAAACGTGGTATTGTAGACTAAATCAAGAGACATGGGAACATCAAGACATACAATTCGTACAGTTAAATTATTAATGTTTGTTTACTACATTAACTTTCCCCGTTGAGGAATTAGACCACATTCAATATGTGCACCGTTCTCAGAAATAACACAGAGCATTCTGTGTTTAACGTTCTCCATAGCCGTATGTAACATATCACAAGGAAATATTCCGCACTGTCTTGTTATGTTGTACTTTAGGATAGACAAATTTGATACTCCACCAACATAAACTTGAGATTTCAAATACCCCAGAGCCAAAAATCGCATGGCGTGAGGTCGGGAACTAGGCGGCCATGCAACTGGAAAACTGCGACTTATATCATCAGTGAAATTTTGGCGCAACAGCTGCTTTACCTTATTACTAATGTGTGGCGGAGCTTCATCTTGCATAAAGATTGTCTGTTGGAGTCGGTTTCTTTGCTGAAGTTGTGGAATAACAAACGTTTATAGCATTTCGTGGTACCTTTCTGCATTTATGGTGCACGTTTGGGGTACTGTCGGAGCGATGGTCTCAAAAAAGAATGGCTCAATTACAAATACGGCTGTGAAACCACAGCAAACAGTGACTTTTGGGGAATTTAATGGGATTTCATGCTCAGAAGCCCAAATTCGGCTATTTTGTGTGTTTACGGACCCATTGAGATAAAAATGGCACTCATCTCCCCAAAGAATGTGCCAAGGGAAAGCATCATCAATTTCTACCCTGGCAAGAAACGATAGAGCCAATGTCACTAGCTTATCATAATCACTTGCTTTCAGTTCGTGCAAGGGGCTGATTTTTGGGGGTAAAATCCAATAACGCGCCACAAAACTCTCCATACCGTGGAATAATTCATGTCCAATTGTCGAGCTACACCTCGGGCGCTGCTAGTACCAACAAGGGTTCCCTGCGATCCTTCGACAATTGCAGTTGCCACATCAGTTATTACATCTTCTGATACTGGTTTACGTTCTCTCTCAGCGCGAATGGTCAGTAACCCCGTTTCCTCGAACTTTTTAATCATTTTCTTAAGACCATTCAACGATAAAGGCCCCTTTCGTAATTCTTTTCTGGTTTGAAATTCTCGAAGAGCTGAGGATGCATTACATTGATTCATGTAATACAGCTTCACCAGTAACGCACCTTCCGGTAACGTGAGAGGTATGTCCACTGGAGCTCTTTTACTTCAGCTGAGATTATTTGCCGCAGCTCTCTACTACTTTGCTTTTATAGCCTTATTACTGGCGCTGTCATCGCATAACATTTGCATTTTTCTTTGATACCAGTGTTTTATGCTAATTCTCGTTATTGTAAGCTACAGCAGGGCCACAAAATGCCCTAGCGGCGATTTTTGGAACTAAAATGTTTTTTCACGGAATCCTTTTTCCCATGTCTTGATTAGTCTAAATACTAAGTTTGGTGCCATTTCGGCTATTAGATCGCGCTACAGGGAGCTCCAAGCACTGTCAGTTTAAAAAAGATCACCCTGTATATAACGTTTTATGCTATTGCATCAAAACGGGAGATGCACGCACAACTACATATTATGGCAATCCATATAGAGCATTTCAACGTTCTGAGGCTACTCGTTTTTGAGTTATGCTAGATACATACATGTGTGCACATATAACCTAAATTTAAACTTCGTATTTGTCTTTTACTGTCATTCTTCAAACATTGGACGCTTGACCAGTATCCTTGAACTCGCCACAGCGACTATTACATTTAGTGAATCTTCAGTTTTTAAAGTACTGTTAGTTTTTAACTAATGCTACTTTAACATAGTGTCTTCTATTGTGTGACTACTTCATTAGAAGTTAAAACTTCATGAAAGGAAGAGTCCTTTGCATGTTGTAGGTGAAATCATATATTTAATTATTAAACTGATACAAACATAATGACGCTATTTTAGAGTTCTCTGTAATTTAAGGTTTTTAATAAAATATGAAATTTCAGCAAGCACACATCTGCGTTGCATCATTTCTCTTCTCTTTAGCATAGTTTTTCCAAAAAGAAACAAAACCCTCATTCAAAATAAATATGATTGTCTTCCATAGTTTAATAAATTTAACATATAATAAATATATGAAACTATAAAAATAAAGCCGCACAACCGGTATAGTGGTTAGCATTGCTGACTGCCGTGCCGAAGGGCGCGGGTTCGAATCCCGGAGAAGGCATGGATGTTTGTAAATGTATAGTGTTCGTGCGGCATGGGGGCACTCTAAATATGCGGAGAGTTCTCTCGAGAGGTTGTGGTAGGGAAAGGGGGCCTGGAGACCCTTGGAACCGTCCCTCCAGGGTGCTGACCATAAAAATTGGGGGGCGGAACTGAGCTAAATCGCACTGTCACCTGTTAAGTGCTCTAGGCTGTGGTCAACGACATGCGTATCTTGCGCTCCTTGCCACGAGGAATTTTGTGGGTTTGGGCTGATGATAGGTCAGACAAGTGAGCATTAGCAAAAAAACAATATAAAAATGAAACTTGTAGAAAGATCAAACGCCTTTTTTAATTTAAATAACACTATATGAAAAAATATTCTTTTTTACAAAATAATATATACATATAATTCGCCTCGATGATATCTACTACACTGAAAAGAATTAAAATTGGAGCTAACATAAGCGACTTGCCCCTGAGGTTCCGTCGATATTACGCCTACTATAACATGTAGCATGTGCGTTAATCTACTTTTTGTATTATCAGTATGGTTTTCGGTCAACAGCAAGATGTAATTAGTATTGTTAAAGGGGTCTTTTTGGATGGGGTCATAAGAGTCCTTAATACTGTAACAACAATTTATTAACAGGTTTAAGTTACACACGGACATAACATTTAATTTTATGAATATTACAGATCAACCATCATGATAGGTCTGATACAACCTATCATGTTCATCATTTTGCTTTTGTTGAAGTCTTTCTCTAGCTACTCACCAGAGGGCACCCTCGTTGCTACAGTTAGTCCAACACAGTTTATATTAACAGCAGACTTTATATTAAAGGACTGGTTACAGTATCTAATTTTCGGAGAAATTCCAAATTCATTTATGAGTTTGATAGCTCGACAACTCAAAGATAATAATTACGTTGATCAAGGGTCTATGTACGAAGTAATAACTTGAAGAGCATGTGAATAAATCAAGTTTACCTCGTAAATTAAATTTCTCGAGTTCCCATCTACGACTGAAATTCGGAAACTTAATCGTTACTTAGATTTCAAGAAAGATTCGACCAGTCACGGAAAGTAAGGAAAGTACATTCAGTTCTTCCGTATTAACCTTTGCTTATAAAGCGCGTGGTTTTCATGAAGAACGAGGCTAAGAGAAACCCTCTGGCAAAAGAAACTCAACCAGCGTAGCATCATGAAGCACGCGACGAAGCTGGCGGCTGCATAACACAGATAAAGATACAATTATTAGGGTTTTCAGCTGGGACATGTTTTGAAACTCACGGAAAGGTTAAATCCCACGCTCGAAATAAAGAACAATCTCTATCATCTTCAATTAAACATTTTATACCCCTACACGCAGTCGGTAAAAAACCTTGCCTTGTAATACAATGCAGATGCCTTTCCTTTTACAATCACTCTAATGGTTTTCTAAAGTTGCTTAATTCTCTTTCACATTTCTGCAGTATTTCATTGTTAGCAGAAATGTTGCAAAACATTTTCTCCGTATTGTAAATATTACGTTTGTCATTAATTTTGTAGTCCGCCAAACCTGGAGTGACCAGTAGTTGAAGCTCCGAATCGCATCAGATTCTATTTCTTGCAGCTAAATGGTTTGATTATATAAAGTTCTCGTGCTTTTAGTCATGAGTAATATATCTGCATGCCCGTTTTCTCTAGAAAATCCTCCACGGAGGCAGTTCTTCTCATAAGCACCATAAGCACATAGCCTTAGTGTGTTACGTTAATCAAATAATCCGGCAACATACAAGATGAACAGCGCGAAAACCCACTTTTCACGTATTCCATTCATTTAGAAATTGAGTCATCAGGTTCTGTGGGAATTAACTACTTGTTCATTTCTTGAAGTTCATTCTAGTTCGTAGATTTTCAACACGTTATGGAAGAACATGACCATTTGAAAAAACAGAAAAAAGTCTGCAAATAATGTAGACTCGATTTGTTTTTAAATTTAGTTTTAAAACTGCCCAAAAGAATCCAAAATTAAAAAGTAAAAAAAAATTGTAGCAGCCTTTCCAAAAACTCAAAATATTTAAACTTCAATGTAATTCGTTTCATAGACGTAGTTTCATAGACGTTCGTTTCATAGACTCGTAGACTCGTGTAGAAAAAGTCCCCCCCCAAAACATCTCGAATTATGTGCAAGGCGTCCCATTAATGCAGGATCATAAGACCAATTTGCAAGTTATTACATAGGATATCGAGAGCTTGTTGATTGGCCCTCTGCGAAATCCAGCTTTGACAGCATTTGACTTTTACCTGTGGGTTTCCTTTCATACCGTAGTTTAAGCACAGAATTTAGAATTTAGAATTTTCAACACCTAAAACAAGATCTGTCATAGATGTTATTGCACGGAGAGTATTCTTATCGAAGTTGGCAACGTCGACTTGATGTAAATAAATGGCTTTACATTTTACCAAAGCGTAGATTCAAATAAAAAAAAACTAGAAGTCTAAATTATTTGTAAGAAAGTTTTATTTTTCGAAAATCATCAAAATTTCAAATTTTACTTCAAAATAGCTTTTCGGTTAAATTTAAGCACTGTTGAACAAGTGCTTAAATTTAACCGAAACTCATCAAAGGTCGCTTCCCGTCTGTTCACATTTTTAGAAGAATCTCAATAATTTCACCCGAAGCTACAAATACGATCGGCTCCGGTAGTTGGTTGTAGCATTAAATTTCAACATTAATATAAAAAAATTGAAAGTCGAAGAAGAAATTTCGAAGAAAATCTCAAACATAGCACCAAATATTATATCTAGGTATTTGCCAAAAAAAAAAAAAAAAAAAAAAAAAGTCCAGTTTAATGTCTTTCATTTAGATCAGCTCGGCTTTGTTTAGTTTTCAAATTCGTGACAGCAAAAATTTCTGCCCGTAAACAGATTATGTCTTAGAATACCAAATTGAGATATCATGAATGAATGCTATCAATTATCTTTTCTAGATTCGCTGGAATGTGTATAAAGAAAATAGTCTTGGAACTTTGTAGACGCATTGTTAAATTGACATCATTAAGGCAGAAGAAAAAATGCTAAGTTTTTCTCCTTATATTTTATATGAAATTTACATTACTTCGAAACGTACGTAACTATATTTCCAATTAAAATATATATATCAACTACACATTTATCCCATAGATATGTGAATTCTTATAAATTATCATAGAATGTCTTTATATCAATAGCTGCAAAAACCGCTGTCTGCAATAAACAGTGTGCATACTACTATGAGCAGATTGTTACCACACACATTATTCCATAATTCCTTTGATGACTGGTTTAGATAGCCAAAGACTATCTTGAACATTCCGATCTATTAATAAATGTTAAAATATTTTACTCGATTTGCAATAATAAAAATTCCTTAATAATAAAGTTAGCACTGCAGTTTTTAAAATTTCTTTTAATGTACTTACAGAATGCAAAGCTTTATGCATAAAACACTTTAAACCCTTTTTGGTAAACTGAATTTTAAGGTATATGATAATTAGTTATTTTATTTTTACATTTCAGACTTGGACTGTTTGGAAAAGATCATTATTTGCCCCAGTAAATTAGAAACATTATCTGTCGATATAAAGAAACTTGATCCAAGATGGTAAGAACTGCATTTTTGTTTTCTTCTTAGTTTTCACTATCTGAATTTTAAAGGATTCGGAATTTGTTTTCTCTAAGTTCAAATTATCGTGCTTAATTTAATGCGAAATAATTTATTACTTACAGATAGATGCCGTAGTCAGATTTTGTTGAAAATTTTCTCTAAATTGTATCTTGAAAAGCTGCTTTCTATTCCTAACCGTCTAAATTTTACCTAAAGACTTATTCCGACATAAATGAATGAGATAGTTATTTAATATTTACTTAGCATTGAATACATAAAATGTACTTTTCTATTCTACCTGGAGGAACTTCCGTATACATCCTTTTGGCGTTTAAAACTCGTTTTTGGCTAAACATCTAGCTCAGACTGCGCCATCTCCTTCCAAAATATTACTAAAAGTTATATTAATTACGCAAATTTGAAAATACTAGATACAACAACTAAATAACGGAAATAGATTTCTAGCTCCATAATTACCAACACTAGCTCGAGCCCATAATATACAGGCAATAAATTACACAGTATTTTTTGCCTCCCAAGTAATGTGACAGTGGCATTTTGGAGGACAGAGTTAAAGATTCTTAACATCTCTGGCTTATTATGGAACGGTTATAGAAATTCCTGATACAAAAATAGAGCAGAGAAATGTTATTAAATTATACATTCAATCGAGTGAAAAGAGGACAGATGGCATGGTGTGAACACTGCTTATCCACAAGCACGGAAATATGAATAAGCTTGTCGTTTAACGATGGTCGAAAATTTTTCAAATCATGGTTTGGTACACAAATAGTTCATAGTATTGAACTAACTATACTGATAATATATTCTTTTATCGTGAAGTATTGAAGCGTTTAGGCCGCTAAGTTAACGAGTAAATCCAGGTCTGGTAACGAGAAGTTGTATCTTACTTAATGCGCCAGTTTATATCAGCATCCTTAGTCGCTAAATGTTTGGTAAAAAATAAGCTCCTACAGACCATATCTCATGTTATGTAATATTTTTCTTTTTATGAAGCTGAAATCTGTAATTAAAGGAGATATATTTGAGGATTTTAAAGACGTTAAAAGATATAAGGCTTTGGATAACTTATTATCTGTGTTTTGCTTCGAGAGAAAAGCTGGCTCAAATGTATTAAATTTTCTGGGGCTTATTTTGAAAGCCTGGTTCCACTTATTCGCTAAAAAATTGTTCCACAAGAAAATTATCGTTATTTAATTGTCAAACGTAATATTTGAATGAAAATAAAAGAATTTACTCATAGTTCACTGTTATTAACTTAAATGAAGCTTTAAAATACCTAATTTTTGTTATTTGTACTCTTGAAATGAATATAAGTGATATTAGTATCCTTTCTTACCTATCATGAACTAATTGAATATTTTATGGCACAATGTGAAAACAATATTAATTTTTCTAAGAATTTTGTGCTTTATTCTGAAATGTTTGTTCATACTGCCATTAAAATGAAAAACCAAGGCAATAAAAATTTTAAACTTTAAATAATGTCTGTGTGTACAGATTTTTACCTTTCATTGATAATTCAGTTAATGTGTAAAGTTACTGCTATCAGAAATATCTGTCACAGGAATCAAACTTTAACATAAATTCATAAAAATTAAACTTTTTTATATAAGTGCTTTAATACACATCGACATTGTTATATTTAAGTAGTCAGAATGTTTTTAAGATTGGGATTAAAGATTGAAAAATAAAGCATTAAATCGGAGGCGGAATAAATTGTTGTATAAAACACGTTCGTAGGCCTTTCAAAAAGAACCTTAACAGTAATAAGCGTTTGAAATTCAATATACGTTGTATGTTAGAAAGTGTAACACGAATTATTAAAATAGCTTAAGGCATCTAATCTCGTGTCAGCTTTGTTATTATTTTCTGTTGGTAACAAAACCAAGCTACACCTAACATGTTCTGTGACATTCAAGTAGTTAAGAAAACAACAGGAAGAATGAAAAAACGTTCTGTACAGATAAATATTTTTCTTTTTGCTGATTGCAACGTGTTCCTTATTTAATATAAATTCTTAAAATTTATAGTTATTTTTGACGAAAGTACAATATAGCAAAAAACACCTCGGGATGTTCAAAATTTTTGATTTTTTTTTAAATTTCCGGGCCTTATTCAGATGCACTGAAATTAAAATGTCATTCTTTTAACTGACAATTTTCTTGGTCATTTGAGACTAAAAGATCGCCGGATTTTAAATTAAATATCGCCAAGAGGAAATAAAGACACGTAATCATTCTTATATGTAGCTTTTCTATGTTACTGCTTCTACTGTTGTTGAAATTCTGTTAATATCCGAATATTTTTTATGTAATCCTCTTGGTTTCATTTTTATTTTCAAGAGTGTTTCGTTAGTAAAAACAACGTTGTAATTTTTAATAAATTTAATTAAAGTGGGTAGTATAAAAATGTTGTTTTATACATTTTAGTCCACTGAGAAGAAAACCTGAAAAATAAAACAGAGGTAGATAAAAACTAACTCGAATAGATTTTTTAGAGGAATATATGCTTAAATCTACAACAACTTCAAGCCTCCTCTGGAACTTGCAAGGATTAAGCACAAATTAAAATGTCGGTAATCGAAGTATAAAACTTCAGTGAGATTTATACTTTGTCAAAGGAATTGTTGACTGAATTCTCTCACCAACTCGCTTTTACATTCATCAAGGTTTTAATTGGACTGTAGCATAAACAAATATCGTTAATCAGTTTAATCAGACACTTAATTCACTGTGAGGGTTGGTCCAGAATCTGTCAGTGCTTTCTCCGATAAAACTGGAACAGACGGGCAAACACGCACGGTCAGGGTCTAGGTCAATAACAAGTGCCTTGACTCTTGGCTACTGTAAAATTTGTGCGCTTTATGTGGATGATGCTAAGATTAAGAGGATTAGAAACAATAACATAATTATATTAAAATAAAGTTTATGTTGTTGCAAACAAGCTGCTCATATAATGCTATATTTTTATGATTATCTTTCAGTTGTTTCTTGGAGGATTTCTTAGAAACAGGAAAAAATGCAGATGGTAGCATTCCGCCATTAGAGTTCGAACAGCTTCCTTTCAATTATCCTATTTGCATCAATTTCACCTCAGGGACAACTGGAGAACCAAAGGGACTCGTACACGGCTGCGGGGTAGGTTAAAAATTATATGCTAAAGTATCTTGTTGAGTATCATGCTCACTCTGTTTCTCTAAAAAATAAATTTTTAAGATTTATAATTTCTACTAAAAGAAAAGTTTGATTAACTTAAATTTATTTAGCAAGTTATTAAATTTTGGTAGCACAAATATTAGTTAAAAAATGAATTGACATATTTATAAAAAATTAATTACTGAAGTTAGATTGCTACATTAAATTGTTTTATCACAAGTAAAAATAAAATTTGCATAGCGGAAGTGCGCAGTGTTTTAGCGGAAGAAATATTAATTACAGTAATATAAATATTAACAACCTTAATTGAATATATTAAAAAGTTATTAAGAATTGTTTTATCCAAAAGATAAATAAATTGCTATAAAAGATGAACAAATATTTTATGTGGCGTAAGCTCTTATTTCCCGTACGTGCCTTGTAAGTATTTAGATACGTTTAGCGATTAGTTAGTATATTAAAAAATAACTATCTTTAGTTACCGAAAAGAATTTTTTTAAATGTTAAGCATATAAACCTTGATGTATCACAGTTTATACGAGTCAAGAGAAACGCGCAATACTTCCGTGTGAAAAAAGAAATATTAATGTTTACAAAAACTTTAATTTCGTCAATGCGATCATTAATGAATTTTGAATCACTCCTCATTGGTTTATGCATTGTTTTGAATCAGAATAGGCCATATAATGTTTCACCATTGTACTATGAAGACCTACATCTGACTGCAGATGTAATAGTTGAAAAATAATTAAATAAAAATGTTTCGTATATTTTTAGTAAAACTTAAATTATGTTAATAAAAATATTTCTTTTACAGTCATTCCTACCTCTTTTGAGGGATTTCAACCTACACTGCAATTTAACTAAGGGAGACGTCGTCCTTACACCCTATCCAGTAAGTAATCTCCGAACGAAGTTGGTGTTTATTTGCAAAATGTTACTACAGATGGCGCCATCAAAATTGAAAATATTCTCAGTTCGTTCGTTCTTTCAAGAATGAAACCTAAAATAAATCTCTCCAATTGTCAAACGTAGCCGAAGAAGTGAACTTTAAGCATAAGTTGAAAATATTCCGAAAGAATAATAATTGCGAAAAACTATTCAAATTATTTAATTTTATGATTTTAAGTAATTATTCTTTCATCACAACTATAAGAGTTGGACTGTTTTTAATGCAATGATATTTGCATATTTACTATTTCCTCCAAATTTATTTCTATACATCATGTATTTTACGTTTTAATTGCATATTTACACTTAATAATTTATTTAATAATTTACACTTAATAATTAATTTACTTTATTAATGATGTTGTTTTTAAATTTCTAATTTTTACGAATTACCATCTGGCTCTTGATGAGGAAAATTTCCTTAAGTAACAAACACTTCTTTTATGCTTACATAAGCAAATTTAAATCTTACATCTTAATCCAGCTTTATGCGTTGAAAATTTTAAAGCTAAATTAAATGATTTATCTTCCACTTTTTATACATATATTGTGTAAGAAAACAAATAATAACCGGAAACCGAAATGTAAAACTTAACTGATATAAAAGCTCATAAAGCTACAATAAGAAAGTATTAATACATGTGTAATATGCTTGTGGCTTATGCATATGATATAGGTATAATATGCTTGTGGTTATACGTATGTACGTTATGTATATATGTAATACGAATACATGTATAATATGCTGTGATCAGTCGCAGCTCAAAAAAAAATCGAAGAATCTTTTTTATTAGTTTGTTTAGTTTAAAATTTATTTATTCAAATAAGTTTTCATCAATTAATTTAGCCAATTTTATTACATAGTTTCACGGTCTTATGCAGTTTTATCTTGTACAGGTCTTTTGTAATTTTCACTGTATATCTATAGATTCTTAACTACTATATATAGTCTTATTCTAAAAGTTATATTTATTTTTTAATTGTATTTAGGTGGGTTGGAATCTGTGGAATTTGTTTATAGCGAATTTTGCATTGGGCATTACTGTAGTCTTATACAATGGTTGCCCATTTTATCCAGAAATTGGATTTTGGGAGATGATGGACAAGTACAATGTCGCTTACACCTTCCTTGCCACGAGTGTTGTTGACAAAATGGAAAAGAACGATGTTTATCCAGGTAGGTTCAAAGCAGCATTGTTTTAAAAAACTTCAGAATTGCTTTTTCTACATAATAAGTGTAATTTTTAGTTTTAATTTATAACAGTGGAACATAGACAATATTATTGCAACATAACATATGGTCATTAATTAAAATTATGAATTTATTAATTTCTGCTGTTGGCTTGATGTAACATAAGACAGGTATTATTAGAGTAGTAATTTTGTAAAATTACTACTCTAAATTATTGCGTAAATTTGCGAAATTTGCGTAAATTTGCGATAGCTGCCATGTAACTAGGGAAAATTGGTCAAATTTGCTAACACATCCTACCTAACATATAAAATATAAAGTTCTGCTAAAAATAAAATAACAAAACTAAAAATAAATACTGCACAGATACGTAAATAAATATTGTATATATTTTCATTAAAACTTCCATTTATAATCCAGTCCAATATCAGAAAAATATTCATAATTATCAACACAAGGATTACCCTTTAATAATGCTTTTTAAAGTTGTATAGCGGTCTACAGAGGGTTTTTTTAATTAAACAATGCGATTTAAATTTTGGAAAATTATTATTCCTTTTCAGATAAAAATAACTACTAAAAGCCTAACCGACACTCGGACAACAAAAAGTGACTTCGTGTACAAGAAATAATTTTGTTCTTGAATTTCATAAATCTAATAAAACTGTATAATTTAAAGCTCTGAATTGGATTCAGAATGTAATTATTATGCTGTGAAGTTTTCATGTTAGTTCTAATAGAGAATAGCATTAAGATTATTCAAATGTAAAAAAAATAACCAAACCAATTGTAACAGAAATTAAGAAAATGGAAAAATTTTATATCTGTAAAATCTTGGGAAAATGCTTCCCTAATATCAATTAAAAATAAAGCAATACTAACGAAAAGTTTGAGTAACTTGCAATGAGTAATTTAATATTTTTAAGAATGTCTGAAGTTTCTCGATATAACGAATCATTTCTCTTGTTTAAATATAAACCATATTTTTCTTCGAAGGACCTGATTGCAAACTTGAACACCTGAAGGTGCTTACTATTGGTGCCAGCCCAGTAAAGCTACAGAATTTCGACTTTCTTCTGAACAAGGTCAAGAAAGATATGTTCCTGAATTGTCTATACGGTAAGCTAACGTTCTTTTTAACGATGCTTGTAAATTTCACATCTAATTAAAATTCTCATCGATTAAGTTTTAGCGATTGCAGACTTTCAGTGTAAGTTTACGAACATTTTCAACTGCCGGCAATGGGATAAAATTACCAGTTCTTAAGAGTTTATTGGCAATTTCTCATTCCAAAATTCGCATATAAAATGAATAATACAAAAAATTACTTTATTAAAAACTTATCAAGCACTGCAGAAAGATTGAAAATAATTTATATTCTGAAGATAAAATACAAAATGATGTAGTATGCACGCATGTGTGTATATATATATTCCAAAATTACCTGTGCCCTATTAAATGTAAATCATTGATAAACATGCTCCTAAGTCTTTACAATAACACAATCTTTACAATAAAAACTATAAAATTTCGTTATTTGTATAATTATTTTAAAAAATTGGGCCTAAAAGGTAACCTTAATTTTTCATAAATTTGAATAAAACTCGATCGATTGCGTGAGATATCAGACACAGGTCAGTCTTTTTCGGGAATTTCTGTTATTCTTCAGAAATTTTTGAATGGAAGAAATTCCCATTTAACAGCATCAGAATTACGATATAAGGCCATGAAGTTATGGTCATGGAATAAGACACTTTGTTGGTGGAACCCGTTTGTTACAGTTCTGTTCCAAACGGTATTATGGTTGGCAGTGCGACTCTCATTTCTTTAAGCTGGGCTTTGGTTCTTGGAGCAAGTATGAATGCATACCGCAGTTTTTCTCCTTGATATGTGCTTAAATCGGGCTAACATCTGCGATTCAAAACCCCATCAAACGACAAATGTTTAAGACTGCCGAATATTAGGAGTTGGAACCCAGGCGACCCGACTAGCTACACTGTTGGTTTCGTGATTTTCTCCCATGTATAGCTTTAACACGAGCAGTTTCTCTTAGAAAGTCCTTTCACTTAGGAGCCTTTACGTACTTTATCATATTCGAATAACCTACCTTGTCGTGCAAATTGGATAACATTCTTTGTGATGACATTACTGAATCTATGCTAATCGAGCAAGTATCCGGTAAGTGTGGCAAAAATATGATTATAACTATTTTAATCATAACCATAATATTTTAATTTGGATATGGATCGCATATGGTACAGGAAATCGATTTAGAATTTTTCCTTTAAGCTATTATAAGGGGTTAGAAGGCTGGTGTTGTATTCGCCACAATCATGGTGTAAAATAACTTTTTGCGAAAGGTTGTATAAAAGCACAGACAAAATTAACTTCAGCGATTAATTTAAGGTATTGAGCAACGCCATTTCATAATAACGAAGACGAAAGATCTTAATGCATTGTTAGACTGGCAGTGTTTAGTAAAGGACAGAAAAAAAAAACAATAACACATCTTTGAGGTTTTAATGAACCGTAAAGAATTTAATAGCTAAAATGTGAGATAGGCCGATAATGCAATAATTAAACAAAACAATATAGCAAAAACTTGAAATAAAAATGATTTTTTTCTAGTAAATACTTATTAGGGAATGTTGGAAATACCCTTGAGTTTTTAAAACTGTAAGTGGAATTTGTACGTTTTTTGTCAGTATTTTATTTTTACATTACTATAAGCAAGTGTCGGTAATAAACTAGTAAATAGAAATAATTTGTATATTTTAATTCCATAAATATTTATTGAAGATATTTCAGCCATTTGAATTACGATGTTTAAATATCGCTAAGGATTATTCGTTAGTAAAGCACGTTTCCAATCATCTGTTTAAAAATACCATACAGCATTGATTCATTAGCGGTCCACCAGCGGTGAAGTCGTTGAAAACTTGTAGTTCGGTCTGAGGTTCGAATCTCGCGAACGGGATGGCTGCATGGGCGTTTTCATGGTTTTACCCATGTGCAACATGTATACGAATCAGTTACCCTTAGAAAGTTCTCCACGAAGGCATCCCATCCCTTTGGCAGATAGCCCTCAAGACTTTATCATAATCACATAAACCAAACATTTATTAGCTGCTCTTTATTTTTAATTATCTTTTCATAAAAAAATTCTGTATCTGTCATTTATGAATATATTGTTTATTTTGAAATTCGAATTTTTTAACTAATTTTCTGGAAGTATTGTCATACTTGCGCATTATGATTTATATCACGTGGAAATCAAATCTGATACTTGAATCGACTGAAATTTCGTAACTTAAGAAACCTATAATTAAATTAATTTTCCTAATTTAATGAGAAAGATTTTCACGATTAGAGTTTAAAAAATCTCGAAGTTTTTGCATGTAGATTACTTTCTCCGCATACATGCTTTCTTAATGGTATGTACACATTTCAAAATGTACGCATATATGCGCCGTTACCTAAAGTGACGTAAACTGTTTAGGATGTATGTATGCGGATTTAATAAGTAGATGTGCAAATGGTGAAAAATAGACTAGAAAGAAGAAAAGAGAAATTTAAAGGTGTGGACAGAAAACTCCACACCCGTATCCTCCAGAAATATTCCCCTCCTCACGGACAAAAACTCATTAAATGCCCACGTCGTACCATCTAAATCAGTCTCACATTCGATTTAGAAGAAATAACTGAGTTTTTATCTAAATATATTTCGATGGGCAATTTTATTTCCCACCTTTAACATATATAATTGCTAGCATTTTTTTTATAAATTGATTACCCAACATTTCTATATTTTTTCATGATTAGCCAATCAAATAAATGCTACTTTTTCGGCATACCAATGACTTCGCAAAAACATTTATAAAAAGTAATTCAATTTTTTTAATTACTGCTTGAATGTAAAAAAACAATCTTTGGGTTTGGTTATAGCAAAAAAAAAGTTTTAATTGGAAACGAATGTTTTAGGTTTCCCTGATGTGTTTAATTTCTTGCATTTAAATCTTGTTTTTATTCTTTGTTTTAGACAGGTAGCTCACTTGTTTTAATGTATCAAATTAAATAAACAATAAATTTCTTGACTGAAAATTACAAGAATAAAAAATAATTAAGTGCTTAGAAGAAATAAGATTCGGGGAGGGGACAATTTATGATAACTGACAGGAATTTTGAGAAAAAGGAATTTTTAGTTAATCTAGTTAAAAAAATATTCTTGTAAAATCATACAAAAAAAATTTGTAATAAACTTTCAACCTTTATTTAACTAAATTTACATTACAAATAAAAAAAGAAACGAACTCTAAATTTTTTTTTTTCTCTACGGTATTTCCGTCAACGGCCAAGATTCTCTCATTTCCGTATCACAGTTCCTTTAATATTGCGGAATGAAGCAAAGACGTTTTTGCAAATTTGCGCAACATTACATTGCACGTCTTGGAAACAACATACTCGATAAGAGTAAGATGCATTGTGTGAAGATACTTTGTTCCCCAAATAAGAACGTCAGCGCATAACAGACAAAAAACGACCGGCGCAATAATGATTTTGGATATTATAATTTCAAAATCATTAAAAGCTTTGAGAATCGTTGTTTTCCACTATCACAAATCGGAGCAAAACATTGCAATATTTTGGAGAACGAACATAAATAATCCTGATGAAGGAAATCTGATATACGTGCCTTTTCCCTTTTGGCGCGTGACCAAAAACTATTTTTCAGACAGACAGATAAAGGAAACATAAGTCTTGTTTTGCAGCTGCTAAGTCTTTCTGCCCGCAGAGCGAAAATTCAAGCTTAGGTGCGAAAGAAAGGTATGTAGACAGACGGCAATTTCTCATTTCAGAGGAAAATGTTTCGTATTTTTTTATACGAATTTGAAAGGCTTAGTAACAAAGATGGGACAAAAAAAAGCTCGTATTGAATTCATTATATAGAGAGGGAAAAATTAAAAAATAAATATATATTTTAAGGGCCTACTTTATTGAGCAAATTCTGTGTATCCTCAATGTATAATGTCTCCCAAGAGTGTATAGTAAGCATGTGTTGTATTTTATAACGTGTTCAAGATGCTGACTAATAAGGGTAATAAAATAAGATATAATTTGAGACACTTAAGTTACTTTTCATATATAGGAATACTCTGAACAATTGTTACCATCAGAGGAAAAAAGAAGCTGAAAAACCTCTGATCATGAATCTGACACTGCGTAATTAAATGTAACTGAGCTAGTTATAATCGCTAGCAAGGCCGAAAGTAAGGTTAAATAATATAAGAAATGATAAATGCACATATATAAATAGGTATAGTACTACTCAAAATAGAGTCATGGTTATCGTTATGGGTATGAATACTTTTTTCTCTCGAAAGTGATTCATAATGTAGTAATATAGAAGCTATTCCTATTGCCGCTAGATTTGTTCACCTAGCGTGTGACCAAATCTAGCGAGTATCTTCAGTTCTACATTGGTTATCTTCAGTTTCTTTTTTCTTCCTTAATTAAAATACAGAAGTGCAGTTTTATTGGTTATTGGTCATCAGATGCGTGAATTAAATACCGAGATTTTACAGTCATAATAAATTTATAGAATTTACTTCTGGAGATACATGTCGTTTTCCCTGTAACTAGATGGCAATGGACACAAAAAATATACATATTTTAAACTGAATTAGGAAGGTAAACGAAGTAAAGAAAACATAAAGGCAAACTGTACATCGTAAAACCACGTATTCAGCCTAAATTGTGCTGACAGAAATAACTATTTTCCGTTTACAAAACTTCGAATTCAAATACTTTAAAATCGCAAATTACCGCTATTTGTGTGTCTTTGAGTTAATATAGTATATGACCTAATCTACTACTCATTACTGCGGAAGTGATAGTTTTTACCTTGAACTTCTCTCTCTTAAAAATGATACGATCTTTACACACATTGCATTATACTGGGAAATAAATAATTTATTCCACTTTACACTGTTCTTAGAATTTTGTTGTCATTCTCTGTGCGCCGATTGACTAGATTGCGCCACAAATTGGTTTTTCAAAGCAACAGGTTTAAAATTGGTGTAGATGGATAAATTTCGATAAAAAGACTTCCCTCAATTTCC